CAGCGGGACTCAGTACCGTGGTCTGGTGGTCTGGTGTCCTCTGCGTCTTTGTAGTGTGGAACCAGGTGGCTGTACAGAGGAGCGGGGGTGGGGGTTCCAGTGGATTGTTGCTGGGGTGCGGGCTGATTTGGTGTGTTCCACGTGACTCAGGACCTCGATAGGGTATCCGCAGACCTGCCTGTCTGCAGTGGGCTGAATCACCGTGTTCCGCACCCGTACATCCTCCACTTAATATTTGTTTTTCTCCATCTCCAACCATTACCATCCTAGTTCAGCCCACCATCACTGAACGCATGAACCAGAACAGCCTTACAACTCTTCCCTCGGTCTGTTTATCCTCCTCTTTCCCACATAGTAATCAGAAAAATTTTCAAAAATATAAATCAGATCATAGAACTCCCCTTGCTTAAAACATTGCAGTGGTTAGCCGTTATATTTGTGTGGAGTTTTTACATCTTTACCCTGGTCCTCAGGGATCTGCAAAGTCTGATTCCTGCACAATTTATGACTTCATCCCTGATCTCATCTCCATCTTGACAAGCATGCACTGGGCATGCCAGTCTTCTTTTTGTTCCTCAGACACGAAACATGAAGACTCATTATTCTTTAGAATCTTTACATAAGGGTTTTTTGGTCTTTTGCCTGAATGATCCCCCATCAGATATTCACTTTGTTGAGTATGATAACTTTTGGGGTCTCATTCAGCTTAAATATCAGCTCCTCAGACAGCATTTGTGACCATATAATTATCCCTTATTTCATTTTCATCATGCAAGTTATCATCACCCTCCAATCCATCTACTGGGTGTTAAGAGCCATGAGAGTGGGCAGTAAGGACCCTTTTGTGTCTTACTGAATTGTGTCAGCCTTGAATGACCACCACAGAGTATGTGTTCAATACATGTGTGTTAAACAAGTAATTCGAAAAGTATTTTTAAAAGCTGTACTTCAAGTGAGTAAAAGATTCTTTGGGAACTTAGAGCAGAAATATATATCTTAAAAATACTTAAACTGACCTTTTTTAAAGGGATTATTTGAAATTTAATGCAGCTGGTTGAGGTGAGAAAAACAACTCAGAGAGGAAAGAAGAGCTAGGAAGTAGAAGACAGCAGAGTGTCAGCTTAGCAAAGCATGTGCTCCTGTGTGGCTGGATGGTGTGCTACTGCATTCTAGAGGGTGCACAGGCCAGAGGGTGGAGACAGGGAAGCACCAGACACACACAGGCCTTTGATGCCATGTCCAGGAATTCTCACAGCATCTGTACAGGGAGCATAAGTCATTGAGGAGTTTAGACAGGAGGATGACCTTACCAGATTTGTGGTTTTGAAGGATTACTCAGAACAGTGCAGTGAATGTCAGGAGGGGAACAGGGAGACTGGCTGGTTTGGTATTGCAGAGGGATTTTTCTCAGCACCTCTGCAGAGGAAGGGGTGATGAGGATGGAGAAAAGGTAACTACGACAGTGGGAGAAGGTAGGGTCAAAGCAAGGATGTATTTTATTTGGTTAGGACTGTAAGAAACAATGTGTTCATTTTCAGTTTTGGATCTTGACTACTCTATAGACGGTGGTAGCAGGACATTTTTGTTACTGTTTTTGTGTTTCTATTTAGACAAATGTCTATTAAGTGGTTGTATGCAGGGGTCTGGATATCAAGAGAGGGGTTTGAATGGGGACTGATGATTTGGGGATTGTATTCATGAACAGGTAAATTCCAACCATGGCTGGTGACTCACTGAGGAAAGAGTATGCCAAAAACACAAAGAGGAGAATTTGGGCAAGCAATCCCAAGCTGTCTACAGTGAGCTGAAGAAAGAGTGTTTGAAGAAATCTGCAAATAATTTCCGTAGTAAGAGAAAGAAAACCAGGAAAGAGTGACGTTGTAGAGCTGCAGGAAAGAATTAAAAGAGGAGAGAGTAACAACACTGTCATATTTCAGAGAGGAGCCAAATCAGACAGGGATCTTTTGCATGGGAAGCTACCTGCCACTTCATAGATACTAAATACCTATTTTTCTCTCTCATGTTCATTAACATGCCTCTTTCCCCTTCAAGGCTGAGTGATCCTTGAGATGAGAACCGTGTTAAAAGCCTAGCACATAGTAGCATAGTAGGTTGGTGATGGTGAACCTTTTAGAGCTTTCTATGATGCAAACAGCCTGCTCGGCATGTGTGCCATAGGTTTGCTACCACTGTACTGGGCCTTCAACAAAAGCATGTAATTAATTATTAATTAATTGATGTAACAATTAATTAGTCTTTTGAAATAACAAGTTGCTTTTTTTCTGTCAATAATTCTTTGATGTGAAATGAAAAAACATCATTTGGAAATTAATATTGGTGTCTTTTCTTCAAGTGAAGGCTATATGGACAAAGTTTGGGAGTTCCTAAAAGAAGTGTTGCCTGAGTTTAAGCTGTCAGATGAGCCCAGCTTTGAAAGTAAAATACCAGTGATAGAAACAACATTAAAAGAATCAGGAAAAACTGAGAAGGACAGCAAAGAAGGGAAAGATGCAAAGGAAGTAAAAGGCTTGAAGGAATTCAAACCTGAACCTTCTGTAACGACATTGAAAGGATCTGAGAAAAGTGACAAAGTTCTCAAGGGTGAGACATTTTACTCCAAAATGCTACCCAACAGGAACATTGCATATAAATACAGAGTCCACCAAAAAGTGTATGCACTATTCAGAAAAGAAAAACTTGTGTAAATATTTTAATACTAAATTTATTGAGACATCATGAGATTAGTATGAGTTACCTTTGGCCTCTACAATTACAAGAGGTGTTCAAAGTGGTCCATTTCTTCCAGGCATTTTCATTCCAGGAATATTCCATTCCATTATCTTCCAGGCATTTATTAATATGGTGAACTGCTGCTTGGGTAACTTTGGTCATGAGGAGTTCTGCACATGCCTTTTCAATTTCTTTTCTTTTCTTTTGGTACCGGGGATCAAACTCGGGTCCTTGCGCTTTCACAGCAGGCAGCAAAACCACTAAGCTAAATCCCTGTCCCACCTTTTCAATTTCTTCTCTAAGGACCAACAGTGTAGTGGGTTTTTTGTGTGTGTGTGATATATGACATCTTTTAGTGTCCCCTATATGAGGGTAACAACATCTGTTGAAAAAACATTATACTATTTTTCTTTTCCTGAAGTTTGAATACATTTTTTGTCAGACTCTGTAGTTTACAATCCTGTTGAATCTAATGCTTCTTTTATTGTCACTGCTTTAAGTGCTGTGAAAACAACCATGTAATTCAAATCTTTCTTTTCTAGAACTTTAGAATTTATGAAAGTGCTTACTGTATATTGATTGTTATTCCAAATTTTATAAATTAAAGGTCATCCTCTACTAAATTAATGCAGTATTAATATAGGAAAAGATTTTGAATCCTAAATTTCCACTGAGCACACCTTTCTGATGTTATATGCAGAGTGGGATGAACCAAATAGCAAAGGAGAAAAGTTATCCTGTTTTGTTTAGGTGAAATGAGCACAGATTAATTATGATTTTTCTAATAATTTATTCAGAGGTGGAAGTTCAAGTCTGAAGAAAATAATTTCAACTTATTTTACAAAGTGCAGAAATGTCTTTTCTCAAAATGAAAACTAATATTGCTTGCTTATTTTATATCTACAAAAATATATAGCTATGTATATGAACAATGATGCTTGTAAAATAGAATTAAGTAACTAGAAAATACACAGATTTGGGGCCAGGGATTTATCTTAGTGGTTTTGCCACCTGCTGCGTAAGCCCAAGGACCCAAGTTTGATCCCCGGTACCAAAAAAAAAAAAAAAAAGAAAATACATAGATTTTTCTATATATTTTGGTAGTATCTAAAATGACCACTTGAATATTTTTGTTTTATATTAATATTTTGTCAGAATTACCCCTTATCAAGATTATATCTACCAATATTTCTCATGATATATTACCCAGAACTTCATAGTTTAGATTTTCCTCAAAAAATATACAGTACCAAGATCAAATGTGTGAGTTATATCCCCTTTTGAAATGATCTAATGTGCATTAGTTTATGAAATAAAGAACTCTGACTGTATAGTCAGCTTTCCCATTGCTAGGACACAGAACCACAACTTAAAGGAGGAGAGGTTTAATCTGTCTAAAGGCTTGGGGAATTTGGTCCATAGTCAGCTGGCTCTGAGGCAGGAATATCATGGTAGAAGGGGCTGGTGAGCAAATCTCCTTAGTTCATGAAACCTAGGAAGCAGAGCAGGGGAACAGCGCCAGGAGAGGAAGGGCCAGGGAACAGATACAGACCCAAAGCCACACAGCTGTGACCACTCGGACAGGCCTGCTCTAGTAATCTGCTCGGTGTTTCTTAATTCAGTGAAGTGAGCATATCAGGATTAGCAGTTGCACTGACTAAATTTATTTTATCCAGTATATTCCAAATTAATTTGCTTTGAACAGTCTCACAAATTAACATCGAGCCATCCAGCCTTCTTATCAACTTATCCAAATATACTCCATGCTGATCAGAGAACCAGGAGTTTTCCAGGGATTAGTGAGATCCTAATAAACAATCAGAAGTGGAACTCACCTCCTGGAGTTTACAGGGAAGGAAACTAACACTAATAATAATAAAAATAATGTGTAACCATATACTAAAATATGAGCTTTGAGGAGAAATACCAGAAACTATGACAGGTCATATGGGGGACCAGTGTTAGTTGGGTTAGTGGGGAAGAATTCCCTAGGGAATGTTGATTTGTACTTGCAAAGGTGAGAAATTTTGATAACCTATTTTTATATACTTAAGTTTCCTAGTTAAACTTCTCATCCCATGTTTAAAGTTATAGTTCACTTTTCTATCTACCATAGGTGTTAAATCTACAAAAGCTAATATATGAAACTAGTTTATTTTGGGTGTTCAGGAATATTATAAGTAGTTAATGTCACAGTGTTTTATTTATGCAAAAATTTAAAAAAATAAGCATGTGATCAGTGATGATTATAAACTTGGCAAATGATATAGAGAATGAAATGGTCAAAATCTAAAACTTCGGATTACTAGTGAATAAAAATATCTTGGGGTAATTTTTTTACATAAAAGGAAAAGATGTTTCATAGATATGTGTTTATGAATGAGAACTCCAATAAATGGTGGGAATAGTTCTGGGTACTGATTTTATTACACAAGCTATGCTGACAAAAAAAAATTGGTTTGTGGTTGTTGGTTGGATTCCAACTCCTCAAAAAGATATCCTTGAGATAAAGACTCAAAGATCTGAGTGTGCCCCACAGTTATGGCCCACCTTTCAGCACATGCTTTGCTATTTTTAATTATTTTAAAATGAGAAAATTAGCTTTACACTATAATTTTATATAAATAAAAATATTCAAATATTGATCTCCATGAAATATAAATGTATGTGCAAAAATGTAGTTATGTAAAATAAGCAATGTTGCGTATATTTTACAGTAAATGTCCATTTTTAAATTTTTGTCTGACTTTATTGTGATGTATATTGGAGTAGACTATGTTTTGGGGAAATTGTGACTAATTTCATATTTAAACAGTACTATTATATTGGCCTTTTTTCTTTTTTCTTTTTTTTTTTGGTACTGGGGATCGAACTCGGGTCCTTGCGCTTGCGCAGCAGGCAACAAAACCACTGAGCTAAATCTCCGGCCCTATTGGCCTTTTTTCAACATGATGACTAAAGAAGAAACATGTTTTGAGGTTTGCTAGTTAAAAGACTTATTATGAATTTTTTATTATGTTGAGGAAAACAGATGCAAAAGACCTCGGAAAGAAGAGGAATAAAGATGGAGAAAGGGAAAAGGATAAGGACAAATTCAAAGTGTCCCGTCATGGTTCAAGACCCTCATCTGATGTGCATAACTCTGTGCAGTCCCTGTCAGATTGTAAGCTCACACTTTTAAAGTGATAACTACTGTAGTTGTTTCCTAAAATGCTAGAAAATGTTGGAATGTAGAAATAAATTTTCTCTTTTGAAATATCTTCAGTAAGCTTTTTCAAGGTTTTTCATAAATGTTGGGTCTGCTACAGAAATGATGAGTGGTGAGGCCAGGTCCTGCATAGGGGACAGAAGCAAGGATGTCCACATTTTTATGGTACCACAGTGATGGGAGAAGCTGTTCATATTCAGATATTTGTCTGAAAAATACTCAGTGGCTAAATTTATTAACCAAATCCAAGTAAATCCATAGTTACTTGTTTAAGTACTTAGATGCCAACCACTCACTTCAACAAAAAAGCATACATCTAGCTCCTTGCTCACAATGGGGCTCAGCTCTTTTCCTGTTTTTTTTTTTTTGGTACCAGGGATCAAACTTGGGACCTTGAGCTTGTGAGGCAAGCACCGGAACCACTGAGCTAAATCCCTGGCCCTTCTTTTCCTGTTTTAAAAATAACTAATGAAGTGGGATACTAGATGCAGTTGTCTGTCTATGTCACTGCTCAGAAGCACATTTTGTATATCACATTGTGATTGGATAGACACAAGATCTAGTTATATAATACTACTGTATAAAGATCATGTCTTTTTAGTGAAAATGTTCAGATTTCTATGGCTACTACTTAATATTATATTGGAAAACTTCCCCAAAGCCTCAACTTTGAGTGCATGAGGCTTTGGGGAGACATCTCGGTGTAAGCCATAGCAGAGCAGAGATACTAGATTTTATCTGAGGTGATTTTTAAGCAAAGTGTTGGATGAAGCCTCGTTTCTCCTTACTACATATAGTAAAAGATGAGAGAAGAGCTGTAAATTGAAGGAATTGTGAAGCAAAAAAGTGAAAGAACTTGAAAATATGGAAAATATCCAGTCTAATCTTACTGCCAAAAATGAGAAAACATGTAGAGAAAACACCAGGGGTGTAGCTGGACAGTGGCTTAATAAGGAGGTCACCCATGGAGATAGGCATCTTGACAAAGACCAGGAAGAGAAATAAGGTTATACTGTAGAGACATGGCCAGTCTGAATTGGGCTGAGAAAAAGAGAATGGAATGAACAAAGGCTGTGAACTTCTGGGATTGTCCAAAGCAGAACAAGAGCTCTCTTGCTTTGAATATGAACTTCCATTATCCTTCAAGAAAAGAAAAGAATGACCCCAAGAGTGGCTCATAGGTATTCAGGGCTGCCACCCTCACCTGATGCCCAGAAAGTAAGGATGCAAGGATGAGTCTACTTCTGTTTCCGTAAATCAGGGTACCCCTGCAAAGAGTCAGGTGGGCCTCTTTGCAGTGACTCCTTGTGGGTGAACAGGTAGGGCCTCTGCTCAGAGCCGAGGAGTGGAACCACTACCTAGGGCTGTAGGGTAACAGTGGACCCAGAAAGCATACAACCCAGCCAAAGTGAATTATTCTAAAGCCTTAAAATTTAGTGGAATTTGTGAGCTTATGTACTTACTTGGGACCTACCAGACCTTCCTCCTCCTTGCTTTCCTATTTTTTACTTTTGCAGTGGGAATGTCTATTTCATACTTGTCCTGCCATTGTATTTTGGAAGCAACTTGTCAAGTTCATAATGGTGGAGGAGTTTTAGGATAGAAATTTTGCATCAGGATGAGTCATACCTTAAGTTTTAGCCATAAATGACTTAGATGCTATTCACATGAGACTTTAGACTTGGAATGGACATTGAAATGAGTTAAGACTGTTGATGCTATTGGGATAGGATGAATGTAATATGCCTGTGAGAAAGACATGGGTTTAGGGAGGGACAGAGAGTAGAATGTTATGGAAGGAACAATGTTATTGCTTCTAAGCCAAACCCTTAGGTGGAAGCCCTAACCACCAAGGTGACTCTATTTGGAGATAATTCCTTTAGGGAGGTAGGTAAGGTTAAATGAGTTTGCAAAGATGGGAACCTACAAAACTGGTGTCTTTAAAAACAGAGGAAGAGACACCAGGTCACTCTGTCCTTCCCTGTCTCCATCCCCGTGTGCATGCAGAGAAGAGCCATGTGAGGACATAGTGAGAAGGTGACTGTCTAGACCCATTTGACTAGAATTTTCATGACACAATATATGTTTGTTTTACAGGTTCTTCACTAACACAGTCCCCTTATATGGCTGTATATGCTACCTTCAAGCCTCTCTATCTGTATGAAAAAAATATTTTTACATTAAGGAATATGGTAAGAATTCAGGTTCAGGAAATACAACATCATTCAAATTGTGTTTTGTATGTGTATGTGTGTGTATGTGTGTCTGTTGGGTAGGGATTACTTGATCTAAGGGACTTGGCACATCCACAATTACCTTGGATGGTTGCAGTAACTACCCAATTATGAAAAAAAATATATAGTCATTTTTTATTTTTAACCATTTAACAAGAGGAAATTATAGAATTTATTTATTTCAGGGAAAATGATATATATCAGTCCTAGGTAATAATTAATAACCTTCCCATAAAGAGACCACACATATTTTCTTAACATAATTTATTTATTTTTATTTTTTTTGGTACCAGGGATTGAACTCAGGTACTTGCACTTTCTAGGCAGGCGGCAGAACCACTGAGCTAAATCTCTGGCCCAACATAATTTAAATGAATTTGCACTCAGGCTGGTGAGCAACTCTATCACCTTTGTTATATGATAAAGTAATACAAAATAAATGTTAATTACTTTTTCTTATACATTAAAAAAGTCTATGGGTCAGGGATTTAGCTCAGTGGCACTGCGCCTGCCTCGGTCCTGAGTTCAATCCCTGGTACCACAAAAATAAAATTATAGGAAATTTACAAAATGTAGTCAAAGGGAACACAAAGTATAGTATAAATGTCTGGACATAGGCAATATTGACATTTTGGCATACATCCTTTGATTTTTCTTTTATGTTTATATATATATTTTGTGTTTGTGTGTACTTTTTATAGAATGGAATTACACTTTATGTTTTATTTGGAAACTGGCTTTTCCTTTAACAGTATATTACCGTATTTGCATTTTCCCCATGGTGTTACATTTTAGTCAGTATGAGGTATGATTGAAAAATATGGTGTTTAAATTTAAAAAATTGTTACAGTAAAAGACACATTGCCATTAATCACCCTCAAATTAATCATTCTTGTCACTTTCTGAAGCAGTTCTGGAAGTCCTTTTTTTGTGTCTTTAGTAAGCTGTGGCTTCTTTAATGTCCTGACTCTGTTCAAAAGGTTTCCCTTTCATGGTGATTTTGACTTTGGGGAGACCCAGAAGTCACCTGGTACCAGATCTGGTGAATAAGGGGGATGCGGATGCAGTGCATGTTTTTACCAGCCTGTCTCTGTTAGATGGCACTCAGCAGCACCATTAGCCCTATTTTTGATCACACCTTGTAAAGACGTGAAAGAGGACTTCTAGAACTGCTTCAGAAAGTGGCAGAAATGATGAGATAAGTGTATTCAGAAGCTGGGGAGAGTATTTGGAGGGAGATTAATGGCAATGTGTCTTTTAATGCAACAAATTTTTAAAAATTTAATCTTTAATCATATTTTACAATTACCCTCTGTATGTTTAGTGGTTGCATGGTATTTATGTAATTTCACAATTATAAGCTATCTTTCACTGTTAGGGAGGAAGAACAATATTTCTTGTTCCCTTATAATGCTAAAGCCTATCAAGTTACTACACAGTCTATTTAGACAAATGCTGTATTGCATTTGGGGGTTACTGAACCCTAACATTGTTTTCAGCCTTCATACTCTAGCACTTTATTGTTAGGATTCTATAGTCTTAATGTACAAAATTAGATGATACAGTGATATAGTAGTCATTTTATGTATGTATGTATGTATGTATGTATGTATGTATGTATTTGCGGTACTGGGGTCAAGCTCAGGACCTTGCGCTTGCCTGGAACGTGTGGTGGCACTGAGCTACATCCCAGCCCTATAATACTCATTTGAAAGAGCTGAACTTTAAAACTTTAATGAAAATTAGCTTGAAATAAAAATATTCCAGTTAGATGACCATTACACTTTACTGTGTGCATTGTATTTGCACTTATATTAGCCTGAGGCATAATATTATAATTTTTATCTTGTCCTTCTCTTCTTCTTCATAGTCCTTTGACTCCTTCTCCTTTCTCCTCTTAATTTTTCCTACGTCCCTAAAAACTACCATGAAACAGTGGTGACATCATAAAAATGGCATAATTGTGATAGCTTCTTTGATTTTAATCCAAAGTTAAATAGCATTAGCCATGGTTTAATAACAGATCAGAAATTTAGCCTGGATCTTAAAGGCAGTAACACTCAACAGCCCAAGTTTGCTTCCAAAACCTCTTTCAAATGGAGCCTATTCATGAGATTAGGTCTGGCCCTGTCTTAGTCACTTTCTTATCACTGTGACACAATACTTAATACTTGCGACTTAGAAGAGTTTTATTTTGGCTCATAGTTTGAGCAGCTTCAGTCAGTGGTTGTCAGGTTCAAAGCATAAACTGAATGGTGGAAAGGCATGGGTAGAGGAAAGCTGCTGACGTCATACTGCCCAGGAAGCAGAGAGAGAATAGAGGAGCCTGGGAGAGAGATCTACATGCCCAGTAACCAGGCCCCACCTTCTGTCAGCCACTGAACTCACCAGAGGATGAATTCATCAGAGTACACTGCACTCATGAGACAACCACCCTCCAAAAGCCGCACCTTCAAGCACACAAGAGTTTTGGGAGACATTGTAGATACAAAAAAACACCACCACCTCATCCCTAATATGTTTTGGTCTCATTGTATTCTATTGGCCTAGGCACTGTCTCAGTTACTCTAGAGAGTAAGGACTATCTGGACTGCTAAAGACAATGGCCATGTTTTGTAGAGTGCCATGGCATCATGTCTAGGAAGTAAACTCCTTTAAAAACTGCAAAATGGAAGCAAAATAGTCCACTGGAACTTTTGGTAGTCCTACAGAGAAAGTAAGATTTAAAAACAAAGTTAGTTTTGAACTTAAAAGACTAAGAAAGACTATAAACATTCACATCTGTTTATTCATTGCTTAATTCAACAAATGTTTATTGTATTTTCAAGGCTAAACACTATGTTATATCTTGAAGACACCAAGATGAGCAAGATAGGTAAAGTCCCTCCACATAAGGCTTAAAGTCTAATGAGGAAGGCAGACAGTTATGGGAACAACAGTAATACAATTAGAAAATTTTTATAATAGAAGACATAATAGGGCCGGGGATTTAGCTCAGTGGTTTCGCTGCCAGCTGCGCAAGCGCAAGGACTCGAGTTTGATCCCTGGTACAAAAAAAAAGACATAATGAGTGGCTGCCATATGATAGGTATAGGTGCAGAAATGATAATGTTTGTTGGAGGAATGATGAAATGAGTATTTGAGCAAATGAGTGAAAAAAATCAAAGAGGGAGATAAAACACAAAGGCGTCATTTTTTTCTGATGGAATCAGGGAAGTCTTTCCAAAGGAAGAGCTAGCTGTTTAAGACCTTAAGAAATTGCACAAGTAAATATGAGAAAGTGTGTTCAAAGGGGAAGTGATCTAATGTTGAAAAATCTACAGATGAAGAAACTGAATAGACTCTAAGGGGAGGAGCCTCAGAGACAGCTAAAATTGAGGATGGAAGTCTGGAATAAAGACCTTTATAAATCTTCCCTTTGGGGTTGGAAGCAGTGTAAGATACCAGAGGACCTGGAGGTAGCCTAGTGTCTGTAACAGTGAGTGACCTGAGCTGACTGCCATGTCATAGCCCCACCTTGCATGCTGATTCATATAGATTAGCTGTCTTCCAGGCCGTTCCAGTTCCCCTGATAGTTGCCAGGATGTAATAGAGATGTAATAGTTTAATAAACCCATAGGAAACAGTTTCTCTCCTAATAAAATTTTGTTAAATGCAATATGTTACTACATGTTGTATCTTCAAAGACTATGAGATCAACAAGTAAAATAAATAACTTACATTAATTTAAAAGAAGTGATAAAGACTACAAGAAAAATAAGAACAAAACTTGAGAAGAAGCAAGCTGTCATGAATTACCTCAAATTATCCAACATCCTCTTCCTCTTGGGTATCTAAATGGTTTTACTTTTATTTAGGTGGGTAATCTGGGAGTTTCTGAAAACACTTCCTCTACTTCCCACACTTCTGTTCCTTCTTTTTAAAAAGTTTGAAATGGAATGGGATAAAGAGTCTTAGAAAAGGAAATTTCTAATTTAAGTCTTACACATGAATTATTCAACAAATTGAGCACCTACTCAGTATTTAAGGTACTGTCCTAAGTCCCTCTGTTTTCCTAATTCTTGTACTCAAGAAACTTTGAGATCCTTTAATGATGTTTCTTAACATTAAACTATAACTGTCATTAATAGGAGTACTTTACACGAGTCAGAAGCATCATGTAGTATGATGAAAATAAAATCAAGTATGAGAAATTGTTATTTTAAATTTCTCATAATTAAATCAAGTTTAACAGATTATTCAAATTATAAGTACATGTTAATACCATGCTTTGTTATTTGGACTAGTGTTTTATGTCTTCAAAATATTTTAAATCATCTTATTTTCTAATGCTTTACAGTTCCAAGAAAAAAAAAAAAGTAATTTAAGCCTGAAACATTGGTTATAATTCTAAGGAGAATTTAAGATACCTAAGACAAAAATTATAACTGGTAAAATATGTGGAATGTATTTAACTTATAAGTATCACTTTGGTATGACTTCTATATTCTATTTAAATGTAACTTTTATAGTAATACATCTTTAAAAAAATACTATATTGAGGCAACATTGTTGAATGACTTCAAATTCTCCCATATGTTTCCATTAAAAGGAACACTTTCAAGTATTGACTTGCAAACCTTTAAAACAGGAACCCTCTAAAATGGGGGTGGTGGCACATGCCTGTAATCCAGCACTCAGGAGGCTGAGGCAGGAGGATCACCATGAGTTCAAGGCCAGCTTAGACTACATAGTGAGTTCAAGGTCAGCGTGAACTACACAGTGAGACGATGTCTCAAGAACAAAAACAAATACAAAACAAAACAGAAAACCTCTAAAACTTGATCTAGTTAACACTGTAGGTAGGAAAAAGGTTGAGACCCTGGATCACCTAGGAAAGATTTTTTTAAAAACCACTTTAAGAAATTTCAGTAAACAGCTAAAATCTACAACAATGATATATAGAGAAAATGACTGTTCCCTTTTTATTTTTTAATTAAGGCACTTTGAAAACCCATTCACTCATTTTTCCATTTGACTATTTACAGCACTTACAAATGGCTTGGTTGGGCTTATTAGTGCACCAGCTCCTTCCTACAGTGATCCCCTGGCCTCTAGAGGAAGGTCCCCACCTCATTCCTGCCTTGAGAAGTATAGGTTGACCTATACAGAAACAGAGTCCTGAGATCAGGCAGGTTCCAGTTGAAGTAATACTTTGCAATAGGCTAATGGGTGGGTTTCTGGTCCTAATTTAAACAAGTGTTTTATATATTTACAGTCTCAGTTGTTGCTATTGCATAGAAATCAATGATGCAATATCACTAGGAAAAAAAATTATCAGCATAACTGACTTTAATGTAGTATTTCATTTTATTTTACTTTAAATGTTAAGCCAAATTGTGAGAGCCAGAATTTGGCTATAATATATACCATTTTAGCTTTTACTTACTTTGAAAAATTTCTTATGGCATAATTCAGCCAGTAATTAATAACTAAAATTCTGCTTAGATATTTTTCTGAATTATCTTAAAGCAGCAGCGGGACTTCAGGAGATCTGAACATTTAAATATAAGAAGTACCTGCCTGGGTAACTACTTTACCCCCTGCACTTCCATGAATGTCTCCATTGTCATGTATAATCAGGGGAATTTCCTGTGGAGGAATGTATTATTAGAAGATTAGGGCCCAATTTGTAGAGAAAACAACCATTTGCCACCTCTTGTCCTGAATCCACTAAGACAGTGGATTTTTTTTTAAACATTAGGCAACAACTGGTTGTGATTAAAAAAAAAAACACTTTACATAACAAACACTAGTATTAAACTTTAACCTGTAAAAATAATGCTGATTAATTTTGGACCAAAACTGATGCACTAAAATTTTTGCAATCTCATAGGATCTTTAGATTTTACAACCGAAAAGTGTCTTCTAGTTCTTCTCCCTTGTTTTTCAAATAAGGAAACTAGGCCCCAGAGAAGTTGAAAGATAGAAAGATATACTAATAGGGCCGGGGATTTAGCTCAGCGGTTTCTCCGCCTGCTGCGCAAGCGCAAGGAGCCGAGTTCCATCCCCGGTACCAAAAAAAAAAAAAAAAAAAGATACACTAATAGATGTAGTGCTTATATCAAGGGAGGTAGAAATGTGTGTGGTTATTTTTTTACTATTATAGTGGTGATAGTATTTTCATATTGACAAAGCTAGTATTTTTTTTTAAAGGCTATTATTTTTTAATGTGGAGATAATTGCAGGAATCCTTTTGAATCTTCTTTCCATTTCTTAGGCAGGCTCTGCAGAGAAGGTCAGAGAATATGGACTTTCCCATATCTGTAGCCATCCTGTGCTGGTGACAAGAAGTAGGTCTTGTCCCCTTGTAGCACCACCAAAACCGCCTCTGATACCTCCCTGGAAACTCATTCGTTATAAGAAAGAAACTGTTATAACTGATGAACCTCAAGGTATGCCTCGCATGATCTTAAAATCTTTGTAATGAACAGTTGTCTATTTAAAAGGTGTATAGTTTCTTTTGCTGTGAAAGATGTATGTCAAGGTGTAGACCACTAGCCATTGCACCTAAAAAACTATTTGCATTTTATATCCAAATTTTATATCTTTAACGGATTACTTGTCCATGTTTCAGAAGCAGAACAGTTTGGTTCGTATATAAATTGAGCAGACAGATCCAGGTTATTCTTTCATTGGTAGCATTGCTATTATTAGTGTGATGATGGAAAAGTGTAGTTAGAATGAGTGTGATAGGTTGTGGTAAAAAATTAATGTGCTCAGTGTGATAGTTTGCAGTAAATAATATGGGAATTAAGCAGCATATATTAAGGCACTAGAGTGAATTTCTAATGTGGAAATCACCAATGAGTATCATGTAGAACATAATTTTTGAATTATTGATTTATAATTAGAACTCCAATAGGAATAGAACTTTTACCCTGAACTGGCACTTGTGTTAGTCCTGTGATATAGCCACTTAGTGAATGGTGGCTGTCCTCCGAAATAAATGGATTCCCGTGGGCTAAGAGCATGGGGGGGAGTCTCCCTACCTTGTTCTTGTTATTGTAGTGCATTTAAAAATCCTCACAACCCATGTCTTCACACTTTCAACTTTTTGTTCTCTGTAAGTCTTCATTCTTAAGTTTTTTTTTTAACCTCAAGCACAATGTTTGAAGGAAGAGGGACCACTCTTTTGTAAAGTGAGGGTGATTATCTTATGATTGGTGGGATTCTATGAGGGTGGTACCTTACCCTAGGGGCTCATCATATAATCGTTTTTCTTCTCTCCACTGGGTTTAATATTTAAAGTGAAAAATAACAAAAAAATGGAAGGGAGATCATTTTAGAGGATAGTACCAGAGGATTAGAGAAAATTTGTGTTATGTGTCATAGCCTCACTTCTTTTGCTACTCATAATACCTCATGTTTAATTTCAGTGTTCACCATGGTAACTCATAGACTGTGTCCCTTTCCTGCTGAGAATTTCCTATTTGTAGACCAGCTTTAGATTTAGGAGTATCCACAGATCTTCTCTTGAACTCTTGCTTCTGTTTCTACTCTTGACCTTTACTTTGTTACATTTTCTTTTCTTCCACTCTATCCTCTTCATTTCCTAAGCAGTTGTGTTGTAGAGCAGTGGTCCCCAACCTTTTTGGCACCAGGGACTAGTCTTGTGGAAGACAGTTTTTCCATCAACTATGGGTGAGGGTGCGGTTTGGGGTTGATTCAGGTGGATTATATTTATTGTGTAGTTTATTTCTGTTATTATTACATTAGGTTCTCATAAGGAGCACAAAAACTAGACTACTTGCATGTGCAGTTCACAATAGGATGTGTGATTCTATGAGATTCTAATGCCCTGGCTGATCTGACAGCAGGCGGAGCTCAGGCAGTGATGTGAGCAGCAAAGGACAGCTGTAAATACAGATGAAGTTTAGCTCACTTGCCCTCCACTCACACTGCATGCTGCTCACCGCCTAGCAGGGGTTGGGTACCCCTGTTGTACAGGTTAATTAAAGGTACACATGGTTTCAGTAAAAGACTTTTATAGAAAATCATTTCTGTACTTAAAGTATCAGCAAAAGCCAGGGAATATTCTGTAAGGCATTGTTGACTTTCCCCCCAAGACTTGTTTCATATTGTTCTCCAGAAAGCAGCTGAGGTATGGACAAAAGAAATATAAGATGAATTCTTTCAGTAAAAACTTTACATATCTCTGTACCTTTGTTTATCTATTTACCTTTATTGAAATGTGCTGTGTAATTAGTAATATAATCAGTTCTGGGATAAATGTTAACTTCTGCATATAATCATGAAAGATGAAAAGAAATGTATATTACACTTCCTAACTGCTATTTTTAGTTACAGTATTAAAGAAGCCTGAACAGTTTCTTGAGATCTCAAGTCCTTTTTTGAATTATAGAATGACTCCACTTAGAGTTCCAAAAAGAAGGTAAGTGTATAACATACTTTCTCACAAATACATCTTGTTAACACACATTTTATGATATGTATGGTTAAAAATAACACTAAATGAGAAGAACATTTGCAAAACATCAAGAATAGGACTACATATATATGTATATAAATGTATTGAAGACTATTTTCTCAATGTCTTACAGCTTATGATTACATTAATTCATGTATTAAGAAATGTATTTTGCTCACATTTTTAGGTGTGAGTTTTACACTAAATGTTGGAGTTTCCTCCAAATTCATATGTGGAAGTCCTGGTTCTCAATGTGGCTGAATTTGGAGATAAGGCCCCTAAGGAAATGACTAAGGCTAACTGAGGTCATATGGGTGGGGCCATGTGCTGATGGGATTAGAATCCTTAGGTGAGACACCAGGGAGCTTGCTGTCTGGCTGTCTCTCCCTGCACACACACAGCGGAAAGAACTCAGGAACACAATGAGAAGGCTGCTGTCTGCAATCAAGGAAGAGAGGAGCCCTCCTACTAAGAATCAAACTCTCCTGGAACCTACTGTCATCTCAGACTTGCAGGCTCCAGAAGTATGAAAAAATAAGTTATCCTCATTCAAGCCACCTAACCTGTGTTATTTTATTATGGTGACTCAAGCAAATGAATACAGATTTTGGTACAAAAAAGTGGGACACTGCTCCAGTGACTATATGAAAATGTGGACGTGGCTTTAGAACTGGATAGTGGGTAGAGCAGGAGGAGTTTTGAGGTATGTGCTGAAAAACATGCATATTGCTGGGAAATGACTTTTGGCAGGTGAGTCTCATGAGGCTCAAAAGGAAAGGGAGAGCTAGAGAGAAACCCCATCTTCTTAGAGAACAATAACCAATAAACAGTGTTGATAAAAATATGGATATTAAAGGTTATTCTTGTGAGGACATACGGAAGAAGTTATTTTAATCCAGAGAAAAACAAAAATTTGCAATAAAGTATCATGAACTTGGCTGAATTGTGTTGTAGTGGTTTGGGGAAGTTAGGATGAGCAATGGTATGGGATAATACCAAGGAAATTTGTAAGCACAATATTGAAAGTGAGGCTGGGGTTCTCTTGAACATAAGATGAGACAGGGGAGGAACTGAAGAAGGAATCCTTAACAAAACACCATATTTAAAAACCGGGGAAATTCTCAGAGCCTGTCCATATTGGGGGGCGGGGAGAAGAAGTGTGTTCTGAAGAGAGGATCAAGTGTGTAGCTGGATTATTGCTAGGTAGATTACAGTTAATACCAGCAGAAATACTACCAGTTTGAGCTCAGGGGAGTGAGACTGGGGCAGAATAGAGGAAGTCTGGGACTTCTAGGACTCAACGATTGGGACCATGGGGCTGTATAGATGCAAACTTGGACCTTTAAGTAAAGGGAAGCATTGACCCAGAGATGACTCAGAAATGATCAGGGCTGCCACTCCTGCCATAAGCCCAGGGGGCAAGGCTGCTTCTCTCTTGGTTTCAGCAGGCCATGTGGGCCTCAGAAAGCTCTGGCAGCAAAACCACTCCACAAACCGTGGGGTGACACTGCCACCCCAGTGAGCATAGAAGACAGAACTTCAAACCAAAGAGGATTATTCTCAAGGCTTAAAATGTAATGAAGTTTGCCTTGCTAGGTTTTGAGCTTACTTGGTCCTGTCAGCCTTTCCTTCTTTCCTATTTTTCCCCATTGAGAATGGAAATGTATATCCTATCCGCATCCCACTATTGGACTAAGGAAATACATAATTTGTCTAATGTTAGAGACTCACAGCTGGAGAGGAATATTCCCTGTACCTTAAAGCTCATCTGTATCTAACATAGTAGTGAGGTGAAATTTTGGATTTCGGATTTACAGATGATGCTAGGATGAGTTAAGGCTTTTAGAGTTATTGAGATGGAGTGAATGTATTTTTGTATTTGAGAATATGAATTTGGGGGACCCAGGGGCAGAATGATGTAGACTAAACATTTGTATTTTCCCAAACTCATATGTTGAAGCACTAAGCCCTGCTGTGTTGTATTTGGAGATGGGATCTTTGTTTTTTTAAATTCTTTTATTGGTACATTTTAGGTACACAATACGTTTACATTTATTATTGGGTGCTTGTACCTGTACATGATGTATCTTATTTCTTATTTTTTCCCCATTACCTGTGTGCCCTTCACCCCCTCCACCCTTCCCTATTTACATAGATTTCGTTTCCATTTTTTTCTTTTTCTCATATTTTT